AAAAACCATTTTTCATACTTAGTCAATATTGCACCTCTGCTAAAATATTTCTGCGTCCGCCAACTGGTGGTGAGAGTAGCCAATCTCCCCCTAAACTTTTATTCACCCAAAAAAAAAAAAAAAAAAAAAAAAGAGAAAAGAAAGAGAAAACCCTTCCCTCATGTTGTCTTTACTTCTCTTGTTATTTACTTGTATAATTCCGGAAAGGACCAAGTTGTTGTAGGCAATCATCCCATTCCCATATGCTGTTTATACATGCTTTTTTTAAATATTGCTTGCCTCCTTCTTTATAAGAATATACTATTTTTAACAAATCATAATTTGACACATATGTAAAAATAATTTGTCAAAAACTCAAAAAAGAAAATGTATGCACACATGTCACAATGCTATTAGTAGGAATATATAAGCTCCTACTTACATGATAACGAAAGAAGTATTTTCCACTTTCCTTCTTTTCCAGTAAAGGTTCATTCTTCTTCTTGATTTTGGTGGGGTTGATTTTTCATGAGTAAGTTTGAAATAAATTTTAAAAAACAAAAAAAAAAGGGGAATATTCCATGTCAACCCATGTTAATGGAGCAAAAGAGTCAACCAAGTACATCATAACTTCTACTTGATCATCTCTAATTAATATCAGAAACAAAGCTGTACAGCACTGGCGGACCCAGAAATTTTTTAGCAGAGGTGCAATATTGACTAAGTATGAAAAATGGTTTTTCGGAATAATCATTTTCTCAAGATAATTTTTGGCGGCTTTTATTCCTTACACATCAAATAAGAAAACTTGATTTTATGTTGATTTTCTAGTATTTTTATTTGAATCCAAATAGGGGGTACTTCCTTATTTACATTGTAAACTTAAGTAAATGGAGTAATATAAAAATAAATAAAAGTAAAAGGACAAAGACATTTACTTAAATGTTGAAGATGAAAATAAGGTAATCTGTACAACAGTTTAGTAAAGGGGCAATTTGAAGCACTTACAATGGTTTTTCAGGATAGGGGAGGTGCAGCTGCACCTCCTTGCGCCTTACTAGATCCGCCTCTGTGTACAGATATACCATTCCCATTCCTCCTCTCCTTTTTTTTTTTCTTACAACAGTAACTTCCTATTAAAACTTTAATTTGAAACAAACAAGAATTAAGCTAAAAAAATGTAGATCGATTGAGAGTGAGAGATTAACATAATTGAAATAAACAAAATCTTAAGAACCAATCAATCAAAGCTTTGGTTAGAGGTTGTAGGTGCATCATGAGATCACCTATCCATCTGAAGGGGATATGACTGCCTAACCCACATGGTAATTGGTAATTAAATTAATCACTCTTTTATATTTTTCTAATTAAACTCTGCACCCTCTCTTTTTTATTATGATTATTTTTTTTGGGGGTATCGGATGGTTGCAATATTCACATGCAAATGCAATGGTGGAGATGTTTTATTAGCACAATACATATATACATTGAACTAATAAGGCAAAATCATTTGGCGCAACAACCTAAAAATATGGAAAAGAAGAGATATAGACGGAAGAAGGAACATCTAAATAATATTATCTGTGTCTCCTGCATGGAAAATTATTTAAACTCATACATGTTTTCTGATTACATTCACATCACATCACAGAACCCTCGACCTAATAATAAAATAATCCCAGCCGGCCAAAAGGAAACTCTTTATTTGTATACACACGATACAATCTCCTCAACCGCAGGGTATTTTAATGTCCAGTGAATTTGATGGTTTAGAAAACTCATTAATATACACATATGGTACCAATGAATGAGGGGCAAACAAATTAATAACTTGACTTAGCAATTTCATTTAACCTGAAGCAAGCAGCAAGCATCTCTTTCTTGTTGCGTTGAGGAAGAGAACATGGTGGCGTGGGGGCAGGCAGGCAGGGACCAGAAGGTCAGGAATTTTTGTTCCCTTTTCTTGATTTTTTTTCTTAGGACTCAAGAGAAAAGAAGCCTTTGGAGTTTTATTTACATAATTTGATTAGTTTAGCTTTAGTATGAAAAAACAAAACCTCATCAATTTTACTACTGTAGGACTTTTTTATATATATATAAATAAAGACGATAGATGGCATTTATAATTCAAGCACAAAAATTATCAGCCACAAGAAACAATATAAATACAATGATTAGCTATCGGACGTTTTTTTTTACATCAATAAGGTAGGGGAACTAATAAATTATGGAACATCGATTTCGTATGTTTTTAATGCGTTGTCTTGTCAAAGAGAACCTTTGGTTATCTATAGCATTGACTTCGCAGCTTTCCCAACTTGAACTTGATTATCACACTGTTTAGAAATGCTTCACAATCAAACTATTATATAAATATCAACTAAAATAAGATTGGTAATTGCGGAAACCAATAGCGTGTATTAAGAAGAAAAAAAAAAGTTGGTAATAACTAAGAGCATTCATAATAAGTTCCTTAGACAAATTTTAGAGAGGAATTAGAAAAATACAATTCTAACCATACTCCATATCCACCTTCTAAAATAAGGGGACCTTTAGAGCAACTCTAGCAATAGACTCCAGCCTGGGCAAGACAGAGCCCAAGCCTAGGCTAGTCCTTCCAACGAGCCAAACTTTCCCTAGCAAGCTGTGGGTCCCACGAGACTAGACCAGCCAGCAGGCCAAAGCAACATGACTTCTAATTTGGGTTTATTGACATCAGCGATGAAATCAGGAACCAAATATTTTTTTAAAAAAATTTCTAAAAAAATACTAAGAATTTTAGAATATTTTTTAATAAACACTTAGTCATATTCTTCATTTCCTGCACCAAAACTCTATACAAATTCCTCTCATAATATCTCATGTGAATAGTAGTTGTCATGACAATAGGTGCAAACACCACAACATTTTGCAATGGCTGCCACTATTCATATGAATAGTAATAGCCCTTGCCTTGTCCTTGTCTTTTGCCATGACAAATGGGTGGAAGTGCTCTTAGGATAACCTAAATATGAGGAGAGAGAAAAGACTCTTAATGGCTCCATATAATTTACTGTTTATTTATTTAATGAGTATTTCAAACATTTAATTAATGCTAATTATTTTTTAATAAAGATGGATCAATTAAAAAAAGGTTATAGTAATTATGACTCCATAAACTAGAGAGCATGATTGAAGTTTAAATTTTATAAAGAACTCTTAAAATAACTTTTATACATTTTTAGTTAAAATTTAACTAAAAAATAGAAAGCATATCCAAAGCATCCAAAACCTTCGGCTGTGATATTTTCCATTTAGATAGGGTCAAACCTTAAAAGAGTGGTCATAGAAACATTTAGTCGATAATGAAGTCAAAAGTATAAGTTCTAAAACAACATATGAAAAAGCAGAAGAAAAAAAAGAAGAAGAGGAGGAGAAAAATACTACGCAAAGCAAACACAAGACAAGTGGCAAAGTGATGAAAATGAGCTACATAGATAGAAAATATACATATAAGAGCCCTTTCACACTGTACTCATTACAAATCATGTGGGTCCCACTCAATTGGCACCTTTAGTGATCATATTTCTTCACCTACAAAACCCAATACACCTGATAAAACTAATAACATATTACATCTGATCATCGCAAACTGATAACAGACAAAAATAAAAAAAGAACACCCTGTTCTTTTCCTCTCCTCCACTCATTGAAATACCATGACACAAACACCACCAATCCAAGAACATGACAACAAGAAACACCCCAATCACAGACTTTGATGATGATGATTGAATTGTTTAATTGATTCATTAGTATTGATGGAGCATGTCTGCAGTGGCCATGATGGGTTGGTTCACATAAAGCAAATTCCATGGGTTGATGAAACTGTTGTGATCAGCAGAAGCAGAGGCCTGATGATGATGAAGAAGGGTGTTGTTGGGTTCATGGGTTTCAAAGACCCCATTGCTGCTGTTGATGTAGTTGAGGATCTCAGTCAGAGACTCCAGTCTTTGGCTGAGCTCTTCCATCTGAGCCTTCAAGACTGAATTTTCAGCCTCAACATTCATCAAGTGCTGGGTCGTGATGTTTATGCTGGTCAAGATTTGGTTGTTTTCCTTCCTCAGCTGCGTCACTTGGCCCATCAGATCATCCAAGTGCTGCTGCTTTCGCATCCGGGACCGCCTCGCCGATTCGCGGTTTGATTGCATTCTTTTCCTTTTTCTCTGATCCATCAGATGCTGCAAGTCCCCTTCAGAACCAGAGTTCTGAAGCTGAGTGGAACCAGAGGAATTCCCACTAGAGGAAGCCATAACAGAGAAACAGAGGACCAAACTATTAAGATTAACAGAAACTTTATATATATAATATTATATTATATTAGATAGATATATCATATATATGAGGGAGTGATGGGAGCTGATTTATGAAAACACATAAAACCAGTAGAGGAAGACAACAGAGAAAGATTGAACTAAATGGGTCCTGCGCCTGAGGGAGGAATCGACCATAAACCCGGAACGGAGGATTTCACTAAGAACTGGAGACATGAATGTCAAACATTAAGAACAAAATGTTCAGCATCAAGATCAATTTTTTGAGGTTTTTCTAAAACCGCATCAAAGACAAAACTAAATTTGGCTTCAATTTCAAAGAATTAATTGAACATGATATGGGTTTTTGGTACAGAATCCAACTACCCAAAATTCTTGAACAGAAAACAAAATACCCAGAAATGAAAGCCCCAAAGATGAACCTAACCCAACAAGAGTATCAGAAAAACCAGCAGCCAAAAATCAGCCTGAATTTCCTGAAACCAACCCAACAGCAGCAGAGCCCTTGAGCTAAAAAGAGAAAACCAAACAAACAGAGCCTCAGCCCTCAAATCAAGAAGACCAACAAGAGCAAGAAGAGCAAGAGAGCCTAATAAGACCTGTAAACTATACAAGGGGAAGAGAAGAGAAGAGGAAGAGGTTTTTGATGGTGTAGAGGGCCCATTTTATAGAAGGAAAAAGTGCTAAACAAGAAAATTAAAGAAAATGCGAGAAATTAAAAAATTGTTTAAAAATGAAAAAAAGGTTAAAAGTAAAGAGCTTTGGAATCTCCTCCAATCTCTCTCTCTCAATTTCTCAAAGAAGGGGAGTTTGTTGGGGAAGACGTTGATTAGTCATGTGACGGGTAGACGAAATTTCCACAACCGTCCAATGCCAGCTGGTGAGCAAACACCATAAAATTTATAAAATTTTAATTACCGGTCTTTCCGTTTCTTTTTTTTCTACTCTTTTTACCTCTCTTTCACCGCCAATTACCAGATTTAACCGTTTTGGTACAGTTATTCAGTCTGATATGTTGTGCCTCTTTTAATGATAAAGCGAAGACACAAGTGGCACCTGAATGTAGCAGAAGGAATCTCAGGGATAGAGGTGGTATAAAAGTACTAAAGCGAGGACAATTCTGTCATTACGGTATGTTTTCTGTTCGGGTGCCAATCGGAAATTCTCAGCCCATCGCTCTTTTTTTTTTTGGGCACGTACCAACCCATCTGCTTTTGTATCTTTACAAGCGCAAAAAGTAGGTTAACCCAAATATAAATTATAAAATAAAAAAAGGAGGAAAGTAAAATTACAAATGTAAATTCAAGTTTGTTCAACATAGAAAACAAATTAGACTATTAACTAGTCTTTGATTTAAGGGTAATTGTCTTCACTTGCTTAGAGGAAACCCAAAGTTCTATTTACATGAATACCAAAAAAAAATTAAATATTTGCGGCGTGTTCGATATTTAATTATAATTAATCAAATGTGGACATTAAATTATCTGATAAGTGAATATTATAGTTTGTAAAGAAACCAAATCACCTTAATTATTTTAAGAGGGGGACTAACAGGACTGCCATGGAAAGGAATGTAGCAAAAATTAAAATAAATAAAAAAGTAGACAGGCAAAAAGTAATTGGATGTCCAAGATTGAATGGATATTGTTTTGGCTACAAAATCTTTCCAATAAGTCGGGCATGCCGCATGCATGCATTTTTTGTATGACTTGGTTACAGAGTTTGGAAGCTTCAGTTAATCCCAGAGTCTAAAATGATAACCAGCCTTGGACAGCGCCTGCTTTACTTCATTTCCCAGCCAATGGAGTGGTAGGGGCTAGCTAATTGCTTAATTAATAGATCATAGCTTATTACTTTACGCGGGCAGTTAGGAGTAGATCCTTCACTAATTCATTGTTAATGGAAGTCTCCGGTAAAGAAGGCATGCAGTTTGAATTTTTTACAATTTTACTAGATCACGAGGCCAATAATTTCTACATTGAAGCCGCCCGTTGTAATTATAAAAGAAAAGTCGGTTCAATGTTTATATTCGTAGATACTTCTACTGCTTTCTGCAGAGGTCATATATTAAATCGAGATTGTGCTGCATATGAAGATACAGATCTACAGATGATATACAGTAACCTCAATGCTTTCTGTACAATAATCAAAATATTCCCTTTGACTTTGTTTAAATCCTAGACGGCCATATGTGGACTTCAACTGGATCCACTCTACTTGTAGCTATGGACCAAACCAAACACCATTATCGATCATGCGTGTTAAAACTTTTTGAAGTGGTAATTACATATCAGACCCTTGGATTGGATTGGATGGAAGGACAGATATTCATGTTTCCATTTGCCAATCCAATACATGTGAGTCCAATGAGGTTAATGATATGAATTATAACCAATTACTTGTGATCAGGTTCCAAACATCAGAAACAACAGATATAAAATAATAATAATAATAATAATTACAAAGAAAGGGTGAGTGAGTGAGGTTGAGATTGCAGGGCAAATGAGCAATAATGATGTACTATTTTACGGTGGGCACCTAATAACAGTAAAAATAATTGTGCAGCGGTAGACTGGTAGAGGAGCTAGTGTAAGTTTTTGAGACATGGAAAAGGAAAAGAACAACTTGGGATGGGTTGGGTGGGGATCCACGGTGCACCAGAGCCAGATATATAGATGGTTTCTGGGAAAAAGTTAACGTGGTACTAATGGGACTGGCCTTTGGGGGCAAAGAGAGCACCAAATAATCTTATTGGCTTATGTTGACGTCGACCTTCATGCTTTTTCTGAAACAGAGTGAGGACCTAACTTTTTAACTTATTGGATATATTTCTTTCCTCTTCTTCACTTGCATTGCAAGTTGCATTGCAACATAACAAAATTGCCAGGGTAATAATATTATATGTACACCAAGTCACAGAGAGAGAGCTCCCATTGGGTGAGAGAGACATCCAATATGAATAAGATCATGGCAATTTTCTTCTTCTGATCTTACAATGATCCCTCTTTTGTGATGTACACTAATTATAAGGCTAGCAACTTGTGTATTTCCTGACAGTACTTGTACGCACCGGTTTAAGTGAATGCAATTCATATTCAAAAGGTCTTGTGGATGAAAATAAATTTACCATAAATATCATACTTGACCTCAATTATTGTTGTTGGAGTGTAAAGTTCTGTGAGTGTGTTACTACTAGTTTCTGTAATGTTCATTGTTATTTTGAAATGACAGGTGGTCTCTATGAGAAAGCTCCTACCGTTCAAAAATAAACCCATTTTTAGCATTATTGATATAGATAAATCCTACATCATTTCATTTTTATAAACAAACCCAAAAAAGGTCAGCTATTGAATTTAATTTTGTTTATTAAATTACTTTAATACCCTGTTGAGTGTTTTGAGTTTTTTGTATTTATTTATTTATTTAGGTTTTGGGGATAGATTTGTTTTAAGAAATTTATAAGAAGTTCGAAACTTTTTTGTTATGTTGTAAATGGACTTTGGATGTGTTTTTAAAGTCTATTTCATGTAGGTTTTTATATAATTTGGACTCATATATTGGACATAATAGTAAAACTCCCTAAAAAAGAATTGGTGAAGACAAAAAAATGAAAATATTTTAGAGGCAGACAGACAAGATACACAATTGGTAATTGGAAATAGAGCAAAATAGGGTAGGTGTACTTGAGGCGCCGAGGTAGGTGTGCGTTAAAGAGGTTTTGTTAATAGCTGAGGAGGCACGGGACATGACACGTGGGCCGTGGCGGGGACAACACAAGAACCAGAACCATTTGGTGCCTGGTTCAATGTTGCAAATCGTACCCAGCTACTTGTCTGTTTTCTTATGCATTATGATCACGAAATATACTTTTTTTTTCCGTCCATCTATCTTCTTCGATTCTTTTGGTAGCAGTTACTTTTCTTAATAAGTGGTGATTTTTCAACTCTAATTTTATCCACTTACACTTTATTTTATAACTAAAAAAAAAGTGTAAGTGGATAAAATTGGAGTGGGGAAATCATTACCTTTCTTAATTGGTTATTCTCACTCAACTGCAAGTCTGCAATGAGATTGAGATACTAATTAAACAGATTCTGATGATGACTAGCAACCGATGATCAAGAAAGAATGTTATTAATTATGCATCCTTCCTTATGACACATTTGATCACGTGGATTATTTTCATGCCGCAGAAAGAAACTTAATTTTCATGATCTTAATTCCAGAAGATTCAATTCAATTCTCTCTCGATCTCTCAAGGGGGCCCTCTGTTGTCAATTACTTATTTTCTAGACACATCTCTGGAATCTTGCGGTGCCCACAAAAGTATATTCCTCTGTATATACGTATGTCAATGTCATGGTTGCACGGCATTATATACATATGCAGTCAGTAATTCATGCATATATACATGCATAATGTTAATTTTTTTATTTAAATAAAATGAATGATGAAGGCAGCCTTCTGTATAATTTCTAGTTTTGTACATATAAATTTGAAAAGAAACATTACCGTTGTCTGTACAAATAGTTTCGCGCCACGTACCTCTTAAATATTCCAAACTTGTAGATATATAATAAAGATAAAGCAAAAAACTCCAGCAAAATTGCCTTGTGTGTTTCATCTTTTTCCTGTGTCATCTACTACTTTGGGTTTGAGTGGACCTAAATATGGGTTTCCATTGCCAAAATTAAAACAATAACAATTACGACTAACAAGAAAAAAACAATAATAATAGAACTGTCGTTTACCCTAAAACAACAGTAGGATGGAGCACAGTAGGGAAAAGGCTTTGGAGATATGCCAATAGAAAACTAAATGCTCAATCAGCATCATTTGATCCGTGATTCCCCAAGACTTTGCTTCAAAACAACAACATTACACTCCAACTGCAATGATTCTACTTTTTTTGTTTTGTTTCAATTTGTTATGATTTCAATCACCTAAAAAAAAACACAAGTATAAGTATATACATACAACCGGTCTAGCCATACCTCTTTAATTCTTGTACGTACCCTGTTGGTCGTGAATCGTGATCGAGAGAGAATATCCAAAACGAAAAACAAAAGAGATATCGAGAGAGATCTTGAGAGACAGAGAAAGTGGTAGTTGGTGTTAGACCCAATCCAAGTCACAAGCATATTGTTATTGATAAGTCAGTTGTGGATTTGAATTTGAATAGTTGATATGCTGATAATGCTTTTTTGTAATTGAGCTGATCCCTTGTTTATTGGAACAGCT